GCAAGATTTCTTCACATCGTATGATGAAGTTTTTGAAAGTTTTGATTCCATGGGATTGCAGGAAAATCTGCTGAGAGGCATTTATGCTTATGGTAGGTACAACTGTATTTATTATTTAGTTGTCTTTTGTTTGGTAGGATGCTTATCTTTTGTTTAGTTGTCCTAACTTATTCCACCGCTGTAGGAATGCATGTTCAATTTCTTAATTTTGATTTCTCCTTTTGCAATGTTGTTAAAGAATGTTATACTTATATTCATCTTTAAAGGCCTCTGTGTATAATTTTGTTTTTATTCTGAAGGTTTTGAGAAGCCTTCTGCAATTCAGCAAAGGGGAATTGTTCCATTCTGCAAAGGCCTTGATGTGATTCAACAGGCTCAGTCTGGAACCGGGAAAACAGCAACCTTTTGCTCAGGGATTTTGCAGCAACTTGATTATGGTGTTGTCCAGTGCCAGGCCTTGGTTTTGGCTCCTACCAGGGAGTTGGCACAGCAGATTGAGAAGGTTATGCGAGCACTTGGTGACTACCTTGGCGTTAAGGTTCATGCTTGTGTTGGTGGGACAAGTGTTCGTGAGGATCAGCGCATTCTTCAAGCTGGTGTTCATGTTGTTGTTGGAACCCCTGGTCGTGTGTTTGACATGTTGAGGAGGCAGTCACTTCGCCCAGATTACATTAAGATGTTTGTATTGGATGAGGCTGATGAAATGCTTTCTCGTGGTTTTAAGGATCAGGTTTGTTATTTGTATTAAGGTGTTGTGTTTCTTCGGGCCCACTATTAATGTTTTGTTTTCAATATATTCCTAATTATGTTTGATGTTTTGGTGGTCAGATCTACGATATTTTCCAGCTCTTGCCATCAAAGGTTCAGGTTGGGGTGTTCTCTGCTACCATGCCACCTGAAGCCCTTGAAATCACAAGAAAGTTTATGAACAAACCTGTGAGGATATTGGTAAAGCGTGATGAGCTCACCCTTGAGGGTATCAAGCAATTCTATGTCAATGTCGATAAAGAAGAATGGAAGCTCGAGACCCTTTGTGATCTGTATGAGACTCTGGCCATCACCCAGAGTGTCATTTTTGTTAACACCAGGCGCAAGGTGGACTGGCTTACCGACAAGATGAGAAGCCGTGACCACACTGTCTCTGCCACCCATGGTGACATGGACCAGAACACGCGTGATATCATCATGCGTGAATTCCGATCAGGCTCATCCCGTGTTCTCATCACCACTGATCTCTTGGCTCGTGGTATTGATGTGCAGCAGGTATCTCTCGTAATAAACTATGATTTGCCGACTCAACCCGAAAACTACCTTCATCGTATTGGACGAAGTGGTAGATTTGGAAGGAAGGGTGTTGCTATTAACTTTGTGACAAAAGACGACGAGAGAATGCTCTATGACATCCAGAGGTTTTACAACGTGGTGATTGAGGAGCTCCCATCGAATGTGGCCGATCTTCTCTGAAGAGCTCGCGCATTTTGTTCCCCCGCTTATCTTTTTGAGGCAGATTTTTATTATCCTGTTTTGAAAGTACTGTTTAATGCTGTTGCTTTTCATTTTGTATTGTCCTCAATTTATGCTGTCAAACATATCTAACTGTTTAATGGTATGCGCCTTGTTGCTCGGTTTCGATATATCAAGAAAGACTTTTTACTGTCAAGAGTTCATGCAAGTTTTTTTTCCTTGTCATGTTGCTATTTGCTTATGTTTTTGTTGTTGAAAGGGACTTTTACTCCGGACTTTTATTGTATTTTTACAAACCCCTCAGGATTTACAAATTACATTAAGCACTCCATGCTGTTTCAATTAAGAACTAAATGGCATAGAAGTTGATGATTGGATTATCATTTAAGTTTTGATTAACGTGTTTATTTTTTATTAATGACATATCATTTAGTTAATAAATTTTATCTACAAATTTAGTTTACCTAGCATTACTTCTTCATGTTATAACTTGTCCAAATTTTGCTGATGTCATAAGGCATTTTTTTTATTTATCAAATGACAAACAATTTTTTATCAGTAAAAATTTGGAAAACTTGAGTCGGTTTTCCGATTCCAAACTTACCATTGCTTGTTGATCAAGTAACCAGAAGGCTCAATCCTCCCAAACGAAATACCGTAGTTTTTACTGAAAAGAAAAAGACAGGAAGCATACAAAGTTCTATCTGAAATCTCCCAGTTTACTTTCTAATTAGCGACGGCAAGGAGATTAGAGTACACCACACAGCAGTAATCAATGGACGGTTCCGAATCTTCTCGTCTAGAACAGCAGGTTCTGTCACTTGTGGGCGTGATGGGATTCATCTTCTTGGCCTGGGTGACACTAGTTTCACTGAGTGCAACTATCGCCCGGCTGGTTTTCAGTGGCCTTGTGTTTGTGGGAGCAGTAGCTGGGTTTGGTTTGGCCCTTGCACAGCGGCACTCCTTTTTCTGACCGTCATCCCCCTTGCTACTTTTTGCTGGCTTTGTGTTTGTTGCAGCAATTGCTGGGTTTGCTTCGGCTGTGGCCTTGGCTGTCACTTGCATGGTATCAGTTTTTCAAGAGCATGGTGGCGCATGCCTTTTTTGGGTTGACAGTGGTGGTGTCACTGGTGTGGCCGAGTCTCGGTCTCCGTATCGGTGGGGGTAGTGGTGGTCGAAGACTTAGACCCAGATTGAGACTAAGGAAGAGACTCATACTGAGATCCAGTCTGAGATTGAAACTCCGATGAGACTCAGACTGGGACGGAGATAGTGAACAATGAACAAGGGAGTGTCCTAAGTCCCATCTAGCTAGTGCTTAGCAAAGTCATTTAATGTGCTTGCATATTTTTCATGGTTAATAAATTTAACTATGATAAACTCTAAATCAATTTGGATTTTGTTTCCGCGTCCTGGAAGCGATTTGAAACAGAAATAAAATCAAGTTCCCTTAGTTTTCTTAGCAACCAATTAGCGGCGGGTTTATTTTGTTTTTGTTTTTCTTCATGCTAGTTATTGGCATGCCTCTTTGGTGGACTACAATGCTTTTACATTTGAAATTATGTCGAATTTCCCATTCGGGGTAGCCTTTTGAATGCCGATCAATCATTACTCATGGTTTCTGATAGGATTTTTAGTACCTGCGCAAATAGGGTTAAAATCACTGAAAATACTTGCAAGAATACAAGGTAATTGTAGTATAAATGCTCATGCAAGGTTGTTGTCCCCAAGGATTGTTTGACTAATTTGTAATTAAATCAACTCTTAATTAACTATTAAAATAGATTTTTATCAAAGATTTGAGATTTATGAATTTGAAAAGATTAACTTAACAATAAAAGAAATATGACAATTTGGAAATAATGGCAGCAAGGAAGAAAAAAACAGTTTTTAAAATTAATAATTTAGAGGAATCTAGGGTTTAGCCGTCACCGTCACAATCCTATGCAATTCTATCAATTACTTATAAATTTCCACATACATGCTCTGAAGGTTAGGTTTCCTAATGCATATTTTCCTTGTGATGTTCAAGCGAAAACGTATATCTAACATAGCATGCAATCCATCTGTGATATTTAGATAAGCCTCATTAGTTTCGTGAAAACCTTCTGAAAAATCATACAACCCTTAAGAGCGTGATGTTCGCCTTAAGTGAACTTACAATTACTAATCACAAGAAGCCCTCCTCAATTTTAGGGTGATGTTCTAACATAAATTGCATCAAATTACTTGTCTAAATATCCTAATGGTGATCAATCATTAAAATATATAGATAGTTTTAATTGCAACATTCTACTGTTTTCTTCAAGAGCAAAAGTATCTTATATCATCAGGGTCGAAAGCAAAGGTATCTTATATCATGTTTTTCCCTTGTCATTTTATTTGTCCTTGTTCTTACCTGTTAGACAAGGAGAAAGAGAGCAATCAGTCGGAACCTGAAATCAAACTTCTGATCTGGAATTGATTGCCTGAAACCCCTTCCCTAATTGCTTACCCTGCATTGCTCTTGAGTAGTCATCTTCAATTGTTGTTAGGTCTCAGATTTCCTCATCAAATACCTCAGAACAGTTGATATGATGTTTTCTTTTTACACTAAAGATACCAAGCATGGATGAGTCGCTGAGAAGTGATGTTTTGAAGGATCATTCAAAGGTAAATGTTGCGTACCACTTCTACTATGCAAGGGACTGAAGCAGAAAGATCAATGATGAGCCCACAGAAGCACCACTTCTACTATGAAAGAAACTAAAGCAGAAAGATCAATGATGAACCCATAGAAGTTCAAGTATGGCATTGACACGCATTAGCCTAAAGAATTTGAAATTAGGGGAGATACTCATCAGGGAGAGCATCTAAAACAGATCAAGATTTTAACGAGGCAGCCAATAATGACATATGGCCATCCAAGGGGGAGTGTTGTAAAAATGCATGGTAAATACGAATGTCGATTATGAAATTCAAGTGTGGATGTTACATATGAGTGCATTAAGTAAGTGTGGTATCCATTAAGTGAGTGGTAGGTTTTGATTTAACATCTTGCCTATTCATTTGCCTATAAGGAAGGCCAAAGTGTAAGAAGAGAAGACAATACAAAAAATAGGAAGAAGAGAGGAAGAAAATATGAGAGACTAAAGAGAGTTATCTTTGTAATCCTATTTTTTCAGATTATAAATGAAAGCATCACTACTGCCCCGAGGACGTACTCTAGTCACATAGATTGTAGATGAACTTCGTAAATATTGTCACTACTAGAAATTTGGCTATAAGCCACCCTTTTCATTGGTGGCTATTGTCAAGTGTTGCCACTCACATTGGTGGCAAACCTCTATGGCCACCAAGCACCCACTAAACTAGCGAGTGTGGCCTATGTAGAAGACTCTTATTGTAACAATGACTACCAATATTGCACTAGTGCCTTTCTTGCAGTGCCACTCTAATTCACATCGGTGGCAAAGTTGTAAAATAATATTAAAAAAAAAAGGATGCCCTGTGTGGGCACCCAAATTGGAGTATCATATTTCTTCTTCTATTTTTGATGAGAAAACAAATTGTTATATCATTAAAATATAAGAATACAACTATAAATTTGCATAATTGATATTTTATAGAATTTTGTACAAATGTTGGAACCAAACTTTAAAAAGTCTTCGAACCCTTTGTTTCCAAGAGCTTAATCATCTCAATAACTTGAATCTGATCATCAGCTGTAGCCTGCACCCAAAATCAAACCCACAAATTTCGTAAGAATAACGTTAACTTAAGTCCAACTGAAAGTGATTAGAGTTGAGGACAACACTGAGATATGATCATATAAATACCAGGGAAAAGTAGATTTTCAAGGGGTTTGCAGTCATAATTTACCATACAAAATCTCCACAAATTCACTGCAACCCTTCTGCAACTTCAACTAAGAACATATTAAATTGACAAGTTCATGAATATGCAGACCACCTTCAACCTTGAAACAACAAATGATCTCCCAATCAGCGTGGCTATTCAAGAATAAGATAAAGAAAGTATAGATACTATATTTATGACCAATGGGCAGATGACAAGATACAACAAAGCATTTACATATAAATGAGGAAGAACAGAAATGAGAATGGAATATCAGTGAAGAGCGCACGCATACTCACACATATAAATGCATTAACTTTTTTTTTTTTTTTTTTCAGAAACTCAAAAAACCAAGAAATTCCAATACAAGAGATCACCAACTAATGACCAAGGCAGCTACAAAACAGAAAACAAAAAAGTGAGTTCTAATTGAATTCATTTACATATACCCTACAACATTAAGACTTAGTAATAAATTTATATTCCTATATTCCATAAAGAAAAGAAACTCATCATATAGAACAATTATAGGTACATAATGATTTGATAAGATAACACTTACAACTGTGCAAGACCTTGCTATTGCACTAGCATGGTAGCAAAGCGTAAATTATTTTAATCAGGTACATACCAATCAGTTGTGAATTTTTTGACTGCAGGCTGTTGAAATACCAGCCACAACAATCTTAGCATCAACCTCATCCTGCAAGGAAATGAAGTTAAACTTAAAACAAATCAATCTAGGAACACATGTAACCTAAAAAATGTTATGCATTAAACTTGTGCTTCCAACCATATATTATATATGACTTGTCCTGCATGTTCTTCTTATATTAAAGAAACCATGATTATTGTTGCGTATACCTTAAGCTCTGATAGTACCATAGATACAACCCGATAAGCAGGGTTTTCTGTGCTTTCCACGATAAACAAAAACTCTAAGGGACCACCATAGAGAAAAGTGACCTGTTTTCGTTAATTAAACAAAATAGTTCAGACCTATATTGGAAGGAATTCATTGGATACAGATTCAACCTATTAAATCAGTTAGCAGAAGGATTTTGAACACTTCACCAGATAAGACATCTCTACAACATAAATACAGAAATTTAGACATGCCCACCAAAAGAAAATATAGTTTAACTATTTTAATCTAATATCACAAAGACATTGAGTTTCCAAGTCTTAGACCCAATAGAAAATAAAAATTGCCGCAATAAATCAAAATTGAAGAATTCAAACTTGGAATCGAAGAATTTCACAATCCTAGAAGCTGAATTCAAACAAGAAAAAAAGAAAAGATAAATTGAATAATATAAGTAAAAAATAACCTGAAGAAGGGGCTGAAAGGGAAGCTTTGATGAGGGTTGAAGGCTATGACTTTACCCAGATTGACTTGAATCTGCTGTTGAGGGGTCTTCATTGCTGCGACCATGTCCATGAACTTGCTGCAGTTGCTTTTCGTCTTCTCCACCCTCCCTCCCTCCCTCTTCTTTGCAAGCCGCATGCCTTCCCTTCACCGAATCTCTCTCTCTCTTTCTCTCTTTCTCCCCCGCCCTCTATCTCTCCTCCTCTCTATAAGCTACATGCTTTCCCTTCACCAAATCCCACACCGTGCCGTCGGGGTTAGGGAGGAGGTGAGGGGTTGAGAGAGAGAGAGAGAGAGAGAGAGAGAGAGAGAGAGAGAGAGAGAGAGAGAGAGAGAGAATGGCTAGGTCGAAAATTAGGGTTGTCTAACTTTGTATTTATTTGGGGATGAAACTACTGTAGAAAATGATTATTAAATGAAAAAACAATTATTTTTGACAGATAAAAAGGAGAAGATTGAAAAAGAAATAAAAAAAAAACAGGTCCCAAAGTTGAAAAAATATGTAAAAAGTCTTTGGTGTAATTTTAAGAAATAAAGTTAGTTAGCAGACACCAATCATTGGTTGCTGATTTCTTAAGGCCACTGATATCAGTGACAACCCACTGTAAAGCCACAAAAAAATAGTAAGAGTAGCAGCTTATATCTATGGCCACCAATTGCAAAGGGTGTGCAAAAAATGGTGTGCAATGAGCATAATTCTAGTAGTGTGTGTCTTATTTCATTTATTTCACTACACACAAACCGTCGATTTTACAACAATAATGCTTATGCTTAGTTGATGATTTTTCATACAACTGGATCAGAAGTTAGTGGGTTTGTATTGACTCTCAATTATGAGAGAGTATCTATGCACCCTATTCATAGTCCAGTGGGGTCATTCATCCAATCAAGGTTTGTCACGTATTTAGAAAGTGAACTATATCCGTTTCACATGAGCTTAACATGTGGTGAATTGGTGATAAAAGAGTATCTCTTGTCAATTAAAGTATATTGGTTTAGACCAAAACATGGATACTAAAGCTGCACTCAACCCCACATTAGGTTGTACATTGGTTTTAACCAATATGTTCTAGATTGCATGCGAAACAATTAACTATTGACAAGAGATAATGAAAACAAATCGATAACCCAAAATATGCAGTTTGTTTGCTCTAATATTCGATAAGGCTGTTTGACTAGGGTAAGAGCATACAAAATCGGATGTGATCAAAATACATAAGATTCACTACTTTGTAAGAGGTACAAATAATGTGATCGGAACACCCTACACGAACTCTTATCGTGTTTGAAAAGCCAACGAAAGGCATGGCCAAAAATAACCCATTATATGCTTATGTGACGAGGCCTTAGCAGAGCCACAATAAGGTCAGATGGCTACAAATTTAAGCCAAAAGAGTCAACATTCTGAAAGAACTTTCAAAACTCATTAAGGCGGTCTTTTTTCGTACCCAAAGGGCAAAAACGACGTATGTCTTTCCTTCGTTACTTGGTTATCAAGTAACCAAAAGGGTTCATTTGATGTATAAGAAGGAGAAGGTTCAATCCATCCATAAAAAAAAAAGAAAGTGATGAAATTGGAATTTCACCATAAAACCAATTGGTAATATGGGGAGTAGTCCAAAATCATATAAGCTCAAAGCAGACTTTGTCCCTCGCCTATGTGGGACAACTTTTCTCTCAAATTTCAACTTTCAACACGCCCTCTCACGTGGGGCCGATTTTCAAGCCTACACGTGGACAACAACTGGGTGACGCGTGAGCAAATGTGGCCTTTGGGCTTTCACACGAAGGACAACCTACTCTGATACCAGGATGAAATTGGGGTTCCATCATAAAACCAATTGACAATATGGGGAGTAGCCCAAAACCATATAAGCCCATAGCAAACTTTGTCCCTCACCGATGTGGGACAACTTGTCTCTCACATTTCAACTTTCAACAGAAAGTAAACCAGAAAGTAGTCCATGGAGGGTCGTGATAGGCGAATGCTGATGGCATTCTTCACTGGCTTAGGAAGTCGGAGGGTCACTTGTGGGCATGCATGGCTCTGCTCGCGTGGATATTTGTGGAGCATGGAGACACGAAGCTCTTGGCGTTGCAGCGGTGTGGCTAAGGAAGTAAACGAAAGGGAACCCGGTACAAAACTATCATAAATGTTAATTTTCTAATTTTTTTTTTTTTTTTTAGGGTTTTATTGAGCAATGAAGGAAGTTCAAGTTCAATTCGAAAACCAAATACTAAATGGGGGAGCGGTCCAAGTTTCTTATAATTAGGTTCATGTCAGCTTTCTTAACTTTCCGAAATGGGACATTCATCACATCCTCACAATTAAGCAATTCGAACATGAAAATATATGACCTCAATAGTTTCTCAAAAACCCAGTACTAGTTTTTTGGCTACTTTAACAGATCAGTCATTGTACAGATACGCCTACAGATATGGCAGGTCTTGGTCCTGAAGAATAAGAGGTATCCTATCGTGAGGTCGATGACAATTTTTTCACACCATATGATGAGGTTCATGAAAGTTTCGATTATATGGGGTTGCAAGAAAATCTTCTAAAGGGCATTTATGCTTATGGTAGGAATTTAATTTCTGTTTGTCAAGTTTAGATTATCGGTTTTCCCAGTAGGCAACATCACCACATATTTGCTTTCAAAACTTTAGGATCCATTTGATAACCATTTCGTTTTTAGTTTTTAGTTCTCACTTGTCCTCTCCACTTCCTTTTTCAAGACGTTTCAAGTGTGTAATTTCTTTTATTTTTATTTTTTTGGTGTGTGAAGGTTTAAGAAGCCTTGTACAATTCAGAAAAGGGGTACTGTTCCATTCTGCAGAGGTCTTGATGTTATTGAACAGGCTCATCCTGGAACTGGGAAAACAGCAGCTTGCTGCACTGGAATTTTGCAGCGACTTGATTATGGTCTAAACCAGTGCCAGGCATTGGTGTTGACACCTAGGAACGATTTGGCGCTGCAGATGGAGAAGCTTATGCGAGCACTTGGCAAATATCTCGGCATGAGGGTTCTTGCTCGTTGGCACTCCCGGCTCTGTATTTGACACGTTTCACTGGGATCAGGCACTTTGCAGGGATCATATTAAGATTTTCGTACTGGACGAGGCTGATGAATTGCTTACTGGTGGTTTGAAGACCAGGTATGTTGTTAAGAATATTTTTCTTGTCAAACTGGCTGACATGTTAGACTGCCAATTTAGACCGACCGCGAGGTGAAATAAGATTTCACTGCATGGTTGCCCTTTTTCTCCCACTAATTTTGTGGTTTCGATTTTTGTTTGACTTGCAATTTAAATGTCCTAGCAATATTGATGTTTTGATGGTCAGATCCGTGACATTTTGCCATCAGTTCAGGCTGGCTTGTTCTCTGCTACAATGTCCCCTAAATGCCTTGTACTCACAAGGAAGTTTATGAACAAACCCCCAAGGATCTTCCAAAAGCCGCCTGATGAGCTCAACCTCGAGGGTTTCAACCAATTTTATGTCACTGTTGATCAAGATAGATGGAAGCTTGAGAAAATTTCTGAGCTCTATAACTCCTCTATCACTCAAACTGTCATTTTTGTTAACACAACTGACGGGGTGGAGTGGCTTGCTGACAAGATGCGAAACCGCAACCACGCTGTCTCGGCCATTCATGCTGACATGGACTGGGACACTTGTGATGCAATTGTATGTGAATTCCATGCCGGCTCTTGCTGTGTTCTCATCACCGACGCTGTCAAGGTGGATTGTATAGATGCGCCGCATCAGCAGCAGCAGCAAGAATCTGTTACAGTAGTAAACCATGATTTGCCGGATGATTTGGAAGATTATGTTCATCGATTGGGACCGAGCTTAAGGTTTAGAAGAAAAGGTCATGTCATTTGCTTTGTGGCGAGGGAGGAGGAGAGAAAGCTGCATGACATTCAAAGACTTTACAATGTGGACATCAAGGAGCTGCTAAAATTGTACCCTCATTTCATCTGAGGAGCTCTTTTTTTTTTTTACAATTCCTTTTCATTTTTGGGGCAAATTTTGTAATTGAGGATGAGGTGACATGGAAAATAGGTCCGTACAGGTTTTTTTAATTTTTTATTATTTTTTTATGCAATGATATATTTACATTAAAGGTAAGTCTTTGAAGTTTTAGACACTATTTAATGTGTATATATTTATTAACTAGCTTGAGTCATTCCATTACAATTATGTCAAAATTCTATTATGTGTTGGTATAACGCATAATTAGGTCTCACAAGTCTAATTAAATATTGTCACGTGGATTAAAAATATTTAAATAATGAAAAAACAACTTTTGCGTATGTATATTTAAAAACTTTTTTTTTTTTTTTTTTTTGTTATTTTTGTTTTGAACAAAGGTGGTGGGCTTAACCACATAATGGACTAATAATATTGTGGTTCGTATTCGTCTTTGACGAGAATTGAACTAAGAGCTCTCACTTACAAATGAAGAAGAATACTAATACTACTAGAATGTAGTATTATAAGTAGCATATAATTAAAAACTTAAAATATATAAAATTAAAAAAAAAAAAAGAAAAAAAGAACAAGAAAAAAAGATGATGATGATCTGTTCATCTTCTTCCCCTCGCACCCGAGCATAACCATGCCCGGACGACCACACCCAAACCCCTCATCTTCTACTTCTTATTCTTTCCTTTTTTATTTTTCTAAGTTTTTACTTGTATAAAAATAAAAGCAATTTTTTATAATTAGATTTGTGAGACTCAGTCAACATAATTGTAAAGGAATGATTCATTGATTTGCGATACCGATTTTCAGATACTGATCGATTTTCAATTTCAGTGACCATCCTGATTGGGTGGGTCAATTTGAGAGATCATTTTTCATAAAAACCCTACAAGTATGAATAAAACTCAAGCACACTTATTGTAGAATAAGCATTTCATATAACAATGAATAAGTCATGAACCCAACTAATTACTCTCGGTAATGCGTTACATATAACATGCAAAATGTATGTTATATAATGCGGGAAGAAAGTAACTTATTTGTAGTTGACGGCTAATTTTGAGGTTTGGTTCTTTCTTTCCGCATTGTGAGGGTTTAGAGAGTAAGGTTTTTACTATTGTAGTCCAACGATCAAGTCTTATGCGTAGCTTAACCCACCTAATCCATTATCTTTCTTATTAAAATATA